CAGGGCTCCATCCCAGGACCCTGGGATCATGACCTGAGCCGAAGGCAGATACTTAACTGACTGAACCACCCAGGCACCCCAGGCACAGCAGGGAGAGAAATTGATTACTATGTTCCAAGTCTGCCTATACCTGGCTCAGTGGCAGCCCCCAAATTGAATGAAAGGTACATGTTTGCTAGGAAGGATAAATTGCTAGAGCCCATCATATCTCTTGAGAGTTGACCATTTTGAACTTGGTATCATAGATGGAAAACATTGTCCATTTATGATTTATTTAAACATAGGGTTCAGCAGTCTTGTCTGCTCTATTAGGACGCAGGCAGTTTGAGAGAGATAATAAAAGGAAGAGAAGAAATTAACTCATTTTTATTGAAAAGAGACTAAAACAATGTTTTTTGAGAGTATTTCTCATTGTTTACAATTTCACATTTGTTCCATGTTGATTTTCATTTGTACATAGTATCAGTTCGTGTCCTCCTACATATTTTTATAGTTGACATAATGTTTGTACCACTCTGCAACTCTCAAATTTTAGAATGCTGTGAAAACTGCATGTAGCCAAACCTTGGAGATACTGTGGGTTTGGTTCTAGACCACAGCAATGAAGTGAATATTGCAATATGAAGCAAGTTAAATGAATGGTCTCCTGGTACATATGTTATATGCACATACAGCTATACTATAGTAAATGTGCAGTAGCATTATATCTAAAAAATGTACAGACCTTATTAAAAATACTTCATTGCTAAAAAATGCTGACTCATCTGAGCTTTCAATGAGTTGTAAGCTCTCTGCTGGTGGGGGAATTTTGTCTCGGTGTTGATGGCCGCTCACTGGTGGTGGCTGAAGGTTGGAGTGGCTATGGCAGTTTCTTTAAATAAGACAACAGTGAAGATTGCTGCGTTGATTGACTCTTTCACACCATTTCTCTGTAGAATGTGATGCTGTTTGATAACATTCCACTCACAGCAGAACTTCTTTCAAAATTAGAGTGAATTCTCTCAAACCCTGCTGCCACCTCTTTTTTTTAAAGATTTTGTTTATTTGACAGAGAGAGACACAGCGAGAGAGGGAACACAAGCAGGGAGAGTGGGAGAGGGAGAAGCAGGCTCCCCGCAGAGCAGGGAGCCCGATGCAGGGCTCGATCCCAAGACCCTGGGACCATGACCTGAGCCGAAGGCAGCCGCTTAATGACTGAGCCACCCAGGTGCCCCCTTGCTGCCACTTCTATACTAAGTTTATGTAAAATTCTAAATCCTTTGTTGTTATTTCAACAGTCTTCATAGCATCTTCACTAGGAATAGATTCTAGCTCAAGAAACTACTTTCTTTGCTCATCCAGAAGAAGCATCTCCTTATCCATTCAAGTTTTATCATGAGATTGCAGCTATTGAGTCACATCTTCAAGTTCTCTTGTAATTCTGATTCTCTTGCGATTTGCACCACATCTGTGGTTACTTCCTCCACTAAATCTTAAGTCCCCAAAAGTCATTCATGCGGAATGGAATCAGCTTCATTCCAAACTTTTGTTAATGTTGTTATTTTGACCTCTTTCCGTGAATTCCAAATGTTCTTAATGGCATCTAGAATGGTGAAACCTTTCCAGAAGGTATTCAGTATACTTTGTCCAGATCCATGAGAGGAATCACTATCTATGACAGCTAGAGCTTTATGAAAGGTATTACTTTTTTTTTTTTGCACTTTAAATATATATAATTTTATTTGTTAATTATACCTCTGTAAAGCTGAATTTTTTTTTAAATTTTTTTTATTGTTACGTTAATCCCCATACATTACATCATTAGTTTTAGATCTAGTGTTCCATGATTCATTGTTTGTGCATAACACCCAGTGCTCCATGCAGAACGTGCCCTCCTCAACACCCATCACCAGGCTAACCCATCCTCCCACCCCCCTCCCCTCTAGAACCC